CTCTACTCACGACCCGTTCGACCACGGCAACACGGCTCTCTCAGCGGATGCTCCTCAGCATCTCTGCCAACGAGGACTTTGATGTCGAATCATGGGACATTGGCGGTGCATTCTCAAAAGGGTTGTCGTTTGAGCAAGTCCGTGAACTCCTTCGCGCCAAGGGCATACGCTCGCCTACACGGAAGGTTCTGATCATTGCTCCCGCCAATGTATGGCGACACCTCGCCAAGTTCGACGCCAAGTTTAAGGTGCATCCTGATGCTCTCCATGAGTGGTTTCTTCTATGCCTGAAGCCCATCTATGGCTTGAATGACGCTCCTCTAGCCTGGCAACTTTGTCTTCATGGCCACTGGGAAGAACAAGGCGGCACTCAGTCCCTCATGGATGAGAACCTCTTCTCCTGGAAGAACGAGAATGACAAGGTCAAGGCCTTGGTGAGCACACACGTGGACGACTGTGGCGCTGGTTCCAAAAGCAAATGGCTAAAGGAACAGTACGAGCTCCTTGTCAAGAAGTTCGGCAAGGTCACACGGCAAACTTTACCGTTCACGCACTGCGGCGTCCTCTACAGCCGGACCTCTGACGGTTTCTTCATGAATCAAGACGAGTTCTGCAGCAAACTCAAGCCAGTTGAAGTTGCTAGCCACAAGAAGGATGACGACCCTTTGACTCCATCGGAAGTGACATCCTTCAGGTCCATTCTCGGTGGACTTCTTTGGCTTACGGCTACAAGACTGGACTTGGTGGCGGACGTTTGTGTCCTTCAGAGCCAGGTTACGAGGGCCAAGATCTGTCACCTCAGGCAGGCCAACAACGTGGTCAAGCGTGCACAGGCAGAACTTGGTCATGGTCTTGGTCTCTACTTCAGGAAGTTGATCCCCCCTTTTCGCCTGGCCTGCATACATGACTCTTCTGCTGCAGGCAACGTGCGGAACTACGCTCAGGAGGGCATACTTGTGCTTCTCTGCGAGGACCGCCTCGGCAAGCTCAACCGCAACGAGGAGCACATTCTTGAAGACCACCAGCTGCAGCTCATCAACGGCAAGGGCCACGTCCTCTGGGCACACGGCGCCAAAGCCAAGCGGATCAGTTACAGCACTTCTCATGCTGAGACGCTGGCTACAGTTTCCGGCGTGGAGACTGGCTCGTTGGTCGCAGTGAGGTTGGCTGAAATCCTGTTTGTACCATCGCGACCAAGCTTGCAATCTCTACTTGTGTGCCAGGAACAGGGCATCCGTGAGTTGCCAATAGATCACATGACAGACTGTCGTGATGTGTTTGAACTGGCAAGCGGCGAGAAGGCCATCCCACAGGATAAGGGTCAGAGATTGTATATCTTGGCGATTCGAGAATCGCGGATGTGCAACAGAATCAGGTGGCTCATTCTCGTCCCCACTGCCTCGATGACAGCAGACAGCTTGACTAAGTCCATGCTGTCTCCACCAATGATGTTGCTTCTTTCCTCCGGCAAGGTTGTCTTCTGGAACGAAGAAAAGCACAAGCTCACGCTGCGTTCGCTGGACCTTCAACGTCCAGTCCAAGAAGGCGACTTCGACAAGTCTGATGTCGAGTTGAGGCGTGAGATCTCGACCACTTCTGCTGCCGCAGCCTCCATGTGTGCACTGGCGTCCCGCAAGCTGTGCTTCTTCTTCGTGGCATCCTCTTTGACGACGCTGTCCTCGGCGAGTACCTTGACTACTACGTCAACCACGACGTCCTCATCGACTACGTCCACCGACGACGACGGTGACTGGCGTTGGTTCTGGACTTTTGTGCTGATGGTGCTCGCCACGGAGTGGACTGTCCTGGGCATCTTCCGCTACTGGTCGCTTCGACTTCATGAGTGGTGGCACGGTCAAGCTGTAGCTCCTCCTGGACCAGAACCTGAGGCTGAACACGAACCAGCGGCTGCGGACCTCGACGAGGCGAACCTCCACTTGGATGACGAGCTCGGCGAACTTCGGCGGCTGCTGGCTGAACGTGACGAAAGGCTTCTGCAAGCCGATGCTTTAGTTGGTCGTCTTCACGAGCAGATCGCTTACTACCTGGACGGCCGTGATACTCTGGAAGAGCAGATTCTGAACCTCCGACACCAGATTGACGATCATGCACTCCGTTGTCCTCTTGCACAAGAAGTTTTCTCAACGGTCGCCACTGGCCGCTGCTGGCACAGGAGTCGTGATTGTCATCATCTGAGAGGCACTAGATTTCGTGCTCTCCGTCACTGCGCCGACTGCGCAGGTAGATAAGTTTTCCACTTCGGAAACGTGAGCGGAGTGGATTTCTTAGCAGTCTCCCGGACATGTGACCTCGATGCTGATTGTGTAGCGCGCTTGGGCTCAGTTAAAAGGATTCCTTCCAAGTGTTACAGTAGTGGCGAAGGATCTAACGCTTGAAGGGAGAGCAGACCGGTTTCTTTCTTGAACTGCACGAGGAGCAGGATTTGACTTTTTGGGTTCGCCGGAGACACTACGCCCCAGTGGCTAAAGCAGTGCCTGCAGCACAGTTCTGAACTCTCTTGTGTGCCGGGGGTTTGACTTTCCCAGGTTGCTGAGAATATCCGCCGTTAACGGCATGGCCCTGAAAGGCCTGGCATCATATGTGGGTTGAGGTGTTGTGTTGCGTTTTCTGTGTGCCTTCTTTTGGTGTGTCTCTACTCCGGATCGCTTACATATTTCATCAGGCTGCAACAGAGAAAGCGCGTTGGTTCCCATGTTTGTTTTGTCCGGGCCTCCCGCAGCACAGGCACTTACAAGGCTGCCGAGGCCGACAAGGCTGCTAGCTTGCGATCCACGCATAAATGGAGGTTCATGGGAACCTCTTGTGTCATGGCATAATTCCTGCGCCTGGCAGGGCTTTGGCTTCATTGACTGCCCTGATGCCAAAGAATATTTTGGCAGAGACGTGTATGTCAACAAGGACAGCGAGTTCGTTTAACAGTGCGTCTCATTCCGGCATCAGGTTTCTCCGTGCACGCTGCAGCATGCAGTTTACTGTAGGGGTTCTAGATTTGCTCTAGAGAACAGAGAGTGCTGTCGTGCGTTCTCCTTGTCTCCCATCAAAATCTCCCCTTGTCTCCCTTCCTGCAGCTTGGGAACCTGATGGTGCTGCCGCGGTTCTGGGAAATCGCCAGTCCTTGTCTGCTGAGCGACTCAGATTATTTGTTATCTGCAATGCTACCACTTCAAGTTGTAGCACAGATCCTCAGGCCTCTTCCTGCCACCTGGAAGTTCCCATTTATAGAGATCAGAAGCTGCTCTCCACGGGATGGCGCCAGGAGTTTGCAGCCGGTCTCCAGACAGGGCAGCAGAATGCCTGGCCTGTCGAGGGCAAAATGCAGCGGTTGGAAATTATGGACCCAATGGCCCCGGGACGACTTCGGCGGGCTATTAGCTAGCAGGTTTTTGTTTCCATTGCAGTACGCACATCTCTTCATTCCATAGTTGATTTTTCTGATTAATGTTCGACATTTGAGCGAGGGATTTCTCCTGAAATGCCAGGGTGAGCTTCAATGTGAAGCTGAACAGAGACATGATGCCGTGATCCTCAGGCTACACTTCCGATTCATTAATGTTTTGTTCGAGTCAGCAAAGGCCGAACGTCACAGAGGTTGCCCTGGTGGATGAAGACTGGGAACCTAGTCCGGGCGACCTGAGCGAAACCAAAGCCAGACACTGAGAATACCAAGCTCTTAGGACCAGATTCCGGGCGCTCGGAGTGCAGTTTACCAGGTGCAATGATCACTTGGCAGATCTCAGCAAAATCTGTATACCGCGATTCGGGTCGCTGTGGCCAAGACGGAGAGGGCAACTCAAGTTACCGTCTAGATCTTCACCGAGAAATGTCGTTGTTCTTGCGTGAGTATTGGTCCCGGCCCGTGTCCGGGCAGCAGTGTCTGGGTCCGTGTCAGTGTGTGGATCCAGGTTCGGGGTTCCTCACTTTGGGTCCGGTCTTCGTCCGGGTCTGGTATAATGGAAGAGCAAGGTATTATCTCAAAAGAGCGGTCCTGCAAGGGTGCACTACATCTGTAACGAACGGAGGGTCCGCACATCACACAGGCGCGCTATTTCCTGAAATTTGGACGTGTTTTGAAGTGTACAACAAGCAGCAAGGCTAAACACTCTCAAGCCTTAAACCCTAACCACACCCTGAGCAACCTCAAACCCTAATCCCTAAACAACACCAAGCCTGAAACCCCAACAATCCCGAACCCTAAACCCCAACATCACCGGCATAGGCATCAAAAAAAGAATTGACAAGGCATCAAAAACAAATTTGATAAGCATCAAGAAAAAATTGACAAGCATCAAAAAGAAATTTGAGCATTTCAGCT